TGCTGGAAAAGCTGTGGTCAAGTTCAGCCCCACTGGGCATATTTTGCAGTAAAACCTCACACAAGTGTGAATTGAGTAGTGCTTAGTGCTTTCTAGATATTGATGTATGTTCTTTCTTGTATTTATATTGAATGGCCACACAACAACATGTCTAACTTCTTGATAATTGCAGTCTTGTTATGATAACATATTTCAGCTTTTAATGTGAGCTTGAATGGCTGCTCTAATTAATTATGGATAGCATATTCAAGGGCCAAAAGCTAAAACTAACTGTTAGCTATTTCTGTAGTTTACTTGGTTATTCATTAGAGCATTTGCATAAGACCTCTATTCTTACATAATGTCTTATATATTGTGTTCAACACGCCATGAAACTTCATGTTTAATCTTACTAAGTTCTTTGCATGAAATTTTATGCATGTTCAGGGATGATGAGTTCAGAGTTGAGACAGAGAGCTGCCGTGAAAGTTTTGGAGCCTTAAAGCCTAATATCGAGGAGCTGGAGATGCTTTTGGAGGCTTACTTTGTGCAGATTGATGGCACTCTTAACAAGCTATATCATGTATGTGTTTTCCCTTCCCATTGTAATCACCAACAAGATCATGAACACACACACACACACGTATATAAAATCTTTGATATCGGTGACCGTGATGAATCTTGAATTATAATTGTGAGTATAATGGACTCATGAACTGTCACCACTGGATAAACTATTGGTGCACGAGTTACTATGCAAATGAACCAAACTGAACATTGCTTCCAATGAATAAATATAATCCATAATCAGACAGTTTCTAGGCATTTCTATTTGGGTTTGTCTTCATGATATTAAGATCATCCTTGTGGCTGTTCAACAGATGTTTGGGATGTTGATAGCCTAAACTCAAAACTTAGCCAAATAGGCATTTTAGGCTCATTTGTCAGTCTTTGGAGCATGCACGTCTTGATGAAATGCTGAACTATGCTTGATAAACTAGATTATCATGAACATGCTCCAGCTTATTACTTGTGAAAATATCTTCTTACCATATTACTATTCTTTTCCTTCTTTTTCTTTTTTTTCCTGCACTGCTAACTCACCAGATTATTTATTTGCCACCTCTGCAAAGTTGAGGGAGTATGTGGATGACACTGAAGACTACATAAACATTATGCTGGATGAGAAACAGAATCAACTGCTGCAGATGGGGGTCATGCTGAGCACTGCAACGGTGGTGACTACTGCTGGTGTCGTGCTTGTAGGTCTATTTGGTATGAACATTGGCATCGATCTCTATAATGCTCCATATCACAAATTCTGGGAGACCACCTGGGGCACCATTGTTGGCTGTGTGATTCTCTATGTTCTAGCAATTGGGTTTGGAAAGAAAAGTGGGCTGCTGCAGTGACCACACTAATTCTTCTCATTTTATGACTGAGAAGGTGCTGAATGATTCCAGTCCTGAATGGTAACTCCGTGCTAGCTTATAAATCAGGAAAGGACTGCTGGAAAAATAATTTCATGACACTGGGTAACTCAACAAGAGAGCTTTTCGACCTTGGGGAAGTCTCTTATTTTTTCTATTACCTAATTTTCGTATACTTTTTAAGAGTTAACTTAGTCTTGCTAGTTATTTGATATTGTGCAGTTGTTTAAATTGTTATGAGAACTCTAGGAATGGTGTCTGTATGGTTTTTAATAATGTTTCATATTGTTATAAAACTCTTATTGTTTTCATTTTTTCAAAAAAAAAATCTGTCAATTCAATGATTGAGATCATATGTTATGCGTTTTTGGTCGCTGGAAAATGTATCAGTTGTTGTCTTTGACATGATTATAATGCATGTGACAGGTCGTATCAAGTCGAGAAAATGTATCAGTTCTGGGTGAAGATGCCGTGGGCTTTGAGAACTCATCTTTTAGGAACGGTGAGCTGTTTCCCAGACATCGATGTATTCCTTTTCAGTTAAAGCAGGGGATGGTCGCTGGTGTTTCTGAGGGAGAAAGCAGTGAATGATGATGGCGTAGATGAAGCGAGACTCGACGCCGAGAAGACCAAGGCAAGTGGATTGATCAAAAATGAACTCTTGGAGAGATGATGGAGAAGGTAAGATGTAGCAAGTGGATCGATCAAAAAGACGCAATCAGTGCAGCAGTTGGAAATATGCAGCTGCTGAGGTGGATCTCATGCTGGCAGTTTCTTCTTGGGGTCTCCAAAACATCTAGCAGCTCTCCAAGACATAACCTTTTACGATGCAATAGTGCAGGAGTTAAAAATAGGATTAATTTAGATTATTTTTTTGTAGTTGGTTACCCTTAGTATTTTAGTTTTTATATTTTTAAAAATTATATTAATATTTTTATAGTTACTAAAGTGAAACATCTAGATTTATTTATTTTAACGACATTAGTTTTATCAATAGAAATATAAAAACAAAGGATAAAAAGGTAAGTTTAACGTTTCGATTGGTGGTGACAAATAATGTCGGTGGTGGCGGGTGAAGACGTGATTAGCATCGACGTCGATGTAGTTGTTGAGTGTTTCTTTCGTTTCTTTGTATCTGTATTTGTGTTTCATCGTCATGAAATCGAAGTCGTTATTAAAGCCATCATAGAGATTTGTTGCTTATCAAAGCAAGACCCGAAGATGTGTGCTCCCCTCGTCGATGTCAACATTGTGCCCCTCCTTGCAATGTGCTCCTCAACCACCTCCACCACCACTCGTCTACGATCGAGGCCTAAGAGAACATCGTCGCTGACCTCCTCAATCTTTCTATCTCCACTTGCAAGACACTCGTGTGCACTCCTGGCATCCTCAATGCCTCCATCATCAGCCATCATGCCATCGCAACCTTTTATAGCTTCCCATTTGCCCGTCCACTAGTGCACCATGTCGCCACAACCCTATATAGCCTCCCCTTCGCTCATCCTTCACCACCAGCATGAAGAGGAGTGGCACAATGCCCAACTCAATAAGGGCATTGTGGTTAAGTAGGTAAAGGGCAAGGCTAAAAAGGGCCTTGAACGTGCCCTTGATGGACTTAGTCAATGTGTTGGGGGCGTCGAGGAGGCTTATAAGGATGACGATGAGGGGTTTCTTTGACATAATGATGGAGTGATACGCTTCAATGAAGAGGAGGTTATAAAGGGTTACATTGGCATATTAGGCCACCGTAACCCTTTATAGCCTCCTCTTCAGGGGTATAATTAGCCGTTAAAAATATGCATCAATTGCTTCATCGTCATTTTTCTCTTGAATTTCATGTTTTAAATTTAAATTATCAAAATCGATGGAAAGGAGGGAGAGAAGATGGATAAGAGAGGAAAGGAGACAATAAAATAGGAAGAAGAGGGATAATACTCTGTTCAAAAACAGAGTAGGAGCACTGAAGGGCTTCGACGAGGACTCAAACAGAGCATAATACCCAAGGGCTTTGACAAGGACTCGACTCTAAGTGAGAAGGAGAAGAAAATGGAGGCAACGGGTAGGGAGGAAAAGAGAAAAGAAAGTGGAAAAAGAAATTAGAGGTGACGAAAGGAGAAGTAGAGATGGGAGGAGAGCAGAACAAATGAATGGGAGAATAAAAGAAGAGATGATCGAAAGAGAGGGTTCGAGAGGAGAGGTCAAACAGTACCTACATGTCTCCTCGTCGCTTCTACTAGCTACCAAGAGAAGCAGTTGCGATTCCTCGTTCTAATTAGAAATTAACCCTTGTAGTTAATTATCTTTAGTATCACAGTCCTTATATTTTATAAAATTATATTGATATCGTTATAATTACGAAAGTGAAACATCTAGATTTATTTATCCTTACGACATCAATTTTACTGATAGAAATACGAAAATAAAAGATAAAAAGATAATTCTAACATTTAATGGTAGATAAACATCGTTGGCGTCGACACCGATGTAATTGCTTGCCCACCTCCGACGACGATAAGGTATGCTCTCATTGTGATGCCACCCTCTCGTGTCACTCCACATTTAAGATGACACTGACGCAATTGTCGAGTGACAACTATGTCGGCGTCAACGTAGATGGTAGAGGTCATCATCACATCTATAGTGAATATGGTGGTGATAGTTGACCCATTATGCAAATCTCAATCTCGATTCGAAGCTAGGATCATCAAGCTCTTGCTCTCCCCTCGCTGTCGCATCAATTTCGGCACCACCTCTTACTAAGCGACCCTTTCACCGCTCTACATCTGAATCGACGTTGATACAATTATCGAACGACGAAATCGACTTAGATGTTTTATTTTCGTAATTATAGGAATACTAATATAACTTTTTAATGTGTAGAGACCGAAACACCAAGGGTAACTAACTATAAGGTATAATCTATAATTAGCTCGACTCCACATCACACGTCGCGGTGCACTTTTGTTCCTTTCTTTTTCTATAAAGTAAACTGAGTAGACATAGTAAACTCGAGTCGACTCACCCGAGTCTATCGATCTTACCGAATCAACTCGTGTAAGTCAAGCGAAACCCGCCCACTTTATATTTAACACTTGTTACGTCGACCCGACTTGCCAACTCGAAAAGCCTGATCAATATGGCACAATCACACGATCCTACTACAGCCCACATCGCGAGCTAAAAAATATTGATTTGTACGACGGTCAAACCGCTCCCCGCTTAAGGGCAGGGGAGGAACAGCACATGCGACCACGCTAGTTACAATAATTAGCCATTATGGATTCGTCGCCGATTAGGCCCACTGTAGCCAACAATGACAGCTCCATAATTATCGGAGCTCAGTACGATCTACGAATTAAGGCTCATCTTAGACTAAAGTTGAACCAGATATCGATTAAGCCGTGTTGAAAACACTGAAGGGAATATCAACTTTCTAAAGCAGTAACTTGGCAGAATGCATTAGAATCCAATCATTAAATGTTATAGATAAACTCTAGTACATGATCTTGCCAAACTACTGGAGCTCCCTCCCTTCCAAGGCAGAAAAATCAATCAGTGGACAACCCTCTGGAATGAAATAACTACTCGCCATTGACGAACTCCAAAAAACCTCTCAGATTAAATAATCCTTCAGATTAAAGATACAGATCTAAAATGTGCTGAAGCCATTATGGGATATCAATATTTGGCAATGTCACATACAAGAAAAATGATGAAGCAAGGCCACAAAGATGGAACAAAGTCTCTTAAATACTCTGTAGCTGGGAGAAGGAAATACGGATGACTGACCGGTCGATGGTGTTTGCATGCTTGCACACGAGAGCCTCGGTGGCCTGTTCCTCGTCCTCAAACAGGACGAGAGCCTGCTTCTTTCCATTCACCTCGAAAAGCTTTACATTCACAATCGTGCCATGCTCCTCCAGATGGGTCACAATATCCTCCTCCATGACGTCTTGTGGAAGAGATGACAAATGAATCATCTTTGTCGGGGAACAACAATACTTGTAGTTTTTAACTGCATTGTTGTTGAAGCGGTTGAGACTGGACCCAGCATATTCATGGGTGTCAGCTGCTGGAGTTATGTTCGGATATTTGGAGAAATTTAACTCCAACCTCTTCCCGAACAACAATGCTCCCTGCATTTAGAATTATCAGAATTTATTGCAAGTGTGTCCAAGAGCGGTAACTCATCCAAAGCAAAATTGTCAACAGCACTTTCCAGGTAATATGAACATATGAACAGGTCGACAATAGAATATTCTAGGGAATAACCAAACCATAATTTTGTTGATGGAAGCATATACAGCAGGAGCAAAATGGATAAAAACATTCTTATTAAGGGCATTATAAGAATCAGCAAAAGAACCAAGGAATTTGTGTCTAGCTACTTGAGCAGGGGTTTGAGGCTTTGAGCACTATGTGATGCAACATACTCAACCAAGACCAAACATACTGACAAACAAAGTCAGAAATCATCCAAAATAATGCTGTACTTAATAAATATAAAGAAGGGGGCCTCTTAAGAACATAAATCAGATGCATGAGAATTTTAATCTGCCATGTTTAAGAGAAAACAATAATAAATATAATGAAAGCATTCAGCCAAAACTGTGGAAGTTTGATCTGCCAGGACTCTTATGCAGAATAACATTTTAAAGAAATCATAACCATATATAGTGATGTTTCCATTTACACATTTGGAAAGGAGTCACAAGTCATATTCATTGTCTCAGAAAATATTTATGTGTATGCGTGTGTCTGGAGAGCCTCATAAAATATTTGCATTGCAAGCAATTCAATGTACATTTAAAAGCATCAACATGAAGAAAATGATGCAACACAATAGAAACTAAGCAACAAAAGACAAGCAAACCTTCAAGAAGTGTACAGCCAATTCTGCCTGAAAGCCATCCCCCATCTGAACAAGTGCATGATCCGGTTTATTGCGCAGCAGTTTTATTCTTACAATATTCCCATATATGGAGAACAAATTAAAAAGCTTATCTTCATCAATTTTCTGCAGTGAAAGTAGCACTAATGGATTACATATGATTTATTTTAGGAGGAAACATCGAGCAAGGAGGGCGGAACTTACATCAGGATTCAAGTTAGTTGCTAAGAGTGTGCACCTATCATTGGTACCGGTTACTCCAGGAGGCAGACCACTGCTAAATGCAGCAGCAATTGCTGCAGCATTGCCCATCTAATCAAATAAAGTATTAGAGTGAGTGTAAGTATTAGCACACAAATATAATTCCATCAAACTGTGATAGCAATTACGAGATCATTCAAATATGAATGAAAATGTTGACAAAATTAAATTGGACAAAAAACCTTTATGGGCAAAACACCATAGCACTCACCTGAGCAAATGCAACTGGAACAAATGAAAAGAAAAAAAGAGTTGATCAGCAAACAGATGGTAATTTGTGGAGCTAAGAGAGAGTCAGAGTAAGATGGACCTCTGGCACCAGATGCTTGAAGTGCATAGAGACTTCCAGCATCACCATAACTATGCTGTTGCACATAAGGTAGGCAAAGAAAAGAAACAATGATATCAGGAAATCTTTCTTTGGAAGTGGACATTGCCCTGTTATTACAAACATTTCACATGGATAAATACAAAGCAAGCTGAGGAAGGCAACTCACTTGTGAAGATTTACCTCTTTGTTCGGTGGGCAAAGATGGATTTGTAAAATCTCTGAAACACAAGCAATGGATAACTCTCAGAAAAAAATATTCAAAAAAAGGTAATGTCAGTTTGGGCAGTTACTACCAATCTCAGCTTGTATAATCTCTAATGCCAATAGGTTAGTCTGGAGTCATGGGATCAAGATGTATGCTATTTTCACGGTACAGTTGCCCATCTCCAGTTACAAAGTGCACATTGCACAAGAAAGACTTGAAGTGGGAAAAGGATGATAAGACACAACTAAAGCTTCATAGGAGACAAATTATGGTTCTTCAAAATTAGTTTAAGTCTTGATCACCTAACCCATGTCACTGAATCTGGCATGCCCAATATTTAAGGATGACTTGATCTTTAGGCAACAAGGTGACACTTTCATGGACTGGAGTTCCGAACATTCTCCAGATATTCTTTTATATGAAAAATGTGCCTTGAAAAGTAAAGAAACAGATGAAATGGCCAGGAGAGGGAATTGTGTCCATTGTTTCCAAATAAGAATAAACCTTGTCCTGAGAAACCAGGATAAGAGCTGGAAAGATGAATAACAAATTTCGTACAAAAGTGTCACTGTTTCTAATAGTGTATACCTATAGCTGTATATTACAAACTAATCAAGAAAAATATTAGCCTTTTCAACATTCATGTTTCACTGGGTCAAGATTCAAGCTGACTGGTTTTAAAAATGATGTTGGGCAAAGCATAATCATACTGGAATGTTGCCCGTTGAAATCCTTTCTAAACAAAGTTATCTACATAGCCGGTTACCCTTTCAACTTAGTCTTCTGTTCCTACCTCTGTCTCAACACTCATTAGAACGTTATACATAATTTGCTTGTATCCACTCATACACTAAAAAAAATGATTAATATTAGTTAGCCAACAAATCAGCTGTTACTGAATTTTTTCATTCAGTTGGCTAGCTCACCAAGCTATTTTCTGTTAGGTGCAACTTGGAATCAACTAAGTGAAATAACACAACACTTTTGTCAGCAACAGATACAATAGAAGGTGCGATAACATACCTAGACCTCTCATTGTTGTAATTCACTTGCAACTCATTAAGACTGGTTTTAACAGAAAAAATGAACAAGTAAGACATTAAATATAAAAGACAGGAAAAAAACCAAATCAATACAACATTGTGCCAGAAGCTTACTTGGAGAATTGGATATCTAGCTGGCAGCAGCCATCATAAATATTGCGTCCCTAGAGAGGCGACAAAACAATAGCAAAATCAGCATATACAAAGACTAAACATCAGAAACTTAAGTGAATACAAGTTACATACTTGCAGAGAACTTCTTGCTTGCAAGGCACTCTGACGTGACTGATACTGGATAAGGGCCTGAAAACCTACAAAACGAGAAACTGGTATGTTATTTAAATTTATCGAAGCATTCTTTATGTGACAAGAAATTGTGACTAGTTCAATCATACAAGTTGTACAAGAAAAAGACAATAATTATCCTGAAAATGAAATCAGATGACAATTCAAAGAGAAGAAAAGGATTTCTAAGAACTCAAAACAATGAGAATCAATTATTAGAATCTGAAAGACAAATTGAGAGAGTTAAAAAAGCTGACCAGCTGACTTTTGGAACGTGACAATTTTCTCCACAAATCCATAAGGAGAAAACACTTGATGCAGCACTTCAACTGTGATAGGATAGAGCATGTGATGAATTGTAACTAAGAGGATTCGATTGGGTTGTGAATCCTGAGCGCCCAACAGCAAGCCATCAAAGACAGTGGAAAGAGAGAAAAGAAGGGAAATAAGCAGAAAACATGCATAGTCTAATGAGAGACAAAAAAATAAAAATACAGACGGTTATAGTACCATGAATATAGGTCTAAGTAACATGTAATTAAGATGCAGAAAGTGAAAAGGACAAATTATTTTAGTAAGTTACATTTACTCCATGCACAAGTTCATATAAGTTTCGTATCCCTTCATGCAATTAACCTTCGATCACTATCCCTCACCATGAACGGTCCTCGAAACACTTTGTATAGAGGTTAGGCAACACAATGATACAAAATACAGCAAAGAACCAGTCACTTCTTCCAAATATAATTGTCCTAGTTAGTTCAGACGGTGGTGAATTAGCTTCCCTTCAAAGGCCAAAAAGACTCGAAAGTATATCACATTTGAGTTATTAAATGTAAAAAGAATCACATAATCCCAATAAAGTTCCAGAAAATTGAAAAGAGCAACCAATCTTGAAACACCATTCAACCTAAACATTCATGTAACTCAATTTTGACCTAATTTGACTCAACACACTGACCCAGCCTGCATCAAACTTCTAATGTATATATCTTGACCTCGAAATATTCTGCATATCTATAAACCTTGAGATGTGAAGATGACAATTTCATCAAGAGAGACAGATAGGCTTTCCTTAAGACTTTAATTGCTTGGTCCAGTTTATATTTGATCCTTCACAGTGAATGACTGCCTAACTTCAATCACTAGATCCAGCTTTCCACAATGGATTTTGAAAATTGATAGCTAATTATAATCTTCATATTAGATGGATATCTGTAATATGTAATTAAATTTCAATAGACAAATCTTTTAAAGTCAGAACACCTTCAAATACCGCAAAGTTTTTGATCTGATCCAGATCAGTTTTCACCAAGGTGTCATTTTAACCTTTGATAGACAAATTATTACCAGTAAACTATTTAAGCAGCAATTTTTCAATGTCGCGTCTCTTATGTAATCTTGCATTGATTTCTCCATCAATTGCAAGTGCCCATGCAATAGATTGGCCAGGATTAACTTAAGCTAACAATAAATGAACATTAGGTTCCATCAAGTTGACATAGCTATGAACAAGGTTTTAAATACTGGACTAATAACAATTACGGTAACCAATTGAACTAATAAGGTACCAAGATACCAGGCTAAACACCTTGTACCACCCAAAATCATTGAATAGAATATAATATAAGAATGAGGTTCATCTGGATGGTAGCAAGCTATACATTCAGATACCGGTATCTAGTTGGACTGGTAAATAGCAGTAAGTACTCATAGGTCTGCAAGGTATTTAAAACCTTGCTATGAAAACGATGATCTATGGCCGACCTTGGTGTCTTTGATGGACGAAAAGCACATGATTGGATATGTTGTTCTGGTAAAAAGCTGACACAGGACTCTTAGGGTATTAACCCAAAAAAGCAATCAACTCCAAATAAAATTAGCTAATGGATTGAATTTTTCTAAAGAGCATACAGCAGCTACCTCGATTTAGAATGGGGATACAATGGGAATTAAGAGTAGAGAAAAAAACAGAAGAAAACAAGAAGAGGGCTTGTGCCCTGCAAAGAAATATTCCATTTTCAATGAAATACAATGTGTACAACGTCACTATAATCATCTTAAAGCTCTACATTAAATATAGTTAGACTAATCCTTACCACTAAATGTGGGACTCACAAGATTATAGTATTAGAAAATAATTAGAACTCCACTTCCTAATTTTCCTGCTCAGCCATCATGAAAAGACAAAACTTAAAGCTGTTATAGGACTATTCTGACATCAATAAATGCTGCTGACATAAGCAATAAGACAACTGGACTACAGCAAGTCAACATAATAGAACATAAACTTAGTACAGACCAAATTAATTTAGTAGGACAACTAAGCATTAAATGATACCTAAAGTTTGATCAACATAAATATCTAACAAGAGAAACATAATTTAGTAAACGAAGTGACACCAAGATGGTTCTGAGCTCAACATGAATGATCAATTATGACAATTCTAGCATCATTGAATTTTGCTTTAGTTACATAATTTTCTGATGCCCTAAAAGTCATGATAATTACAGGATCTTAGGGTGCAGTTTCAAGTGGCTAAATTCTAGCTTCAAAGAACTGTCGACGGAAGTCAAAACTCAGAAGTATATTTAGAATGATCAGCAGGCAGAGCAATATGCAAACTTGATTCAGAATTTTGAAATACCAAGTCACGACAAACCTCTCCATACACAGGCAATGACAATCTAATTATCCATTTATATACCTGATCACCTTTCCTCCCTTGAGAGTTCTGGTCTGCTGTTGTCAGTTCCTGATGTGAAGAAAATTGTATATAAACATTTCTTCCCCTGAAATGATACAATCAAAATTCAGGTAAGATCAGATAAAATAACTTACAACTGAATCCAGAGCAGAGGGCTTCTTGCAGTGAGAATTAGAGTAGTCATTTTCATTTAATATTTTTAAAAGGTAGGCCTTTATGAAATATGAATATTTTCCAACTTCTCCAGTTGAGGGCTTAACAATATTACATATTCAATTTCTGATATGCATAATCAGCACAGAACGTCAGAGGAAAAAAGGTACAACAGATCACAGATTCTACATTTGGCTTCAAGCCAACAAAAAAATGCAACAGCATTTCTTCCCACATTATGGGATTGCTAAAATAGATTTTCCATACAGCTAACTATATTAAAGGTTTCATCCCTGGACAATATAAGGAACATTTGTTGTTTTAAAATTGAATCTTTTTGGTCTTCTCTACCTCCGTTAGCACAAATGATCTGAATTCATTCACCTTGAAGGGTCTTCTAAGGATATTTAAATAACCTTGAATAAGTGGATTTCCTGTATATTATCATTAAATGGTTCTATCTCTTATGTTTAAGGGATGCACCATTTCAAAGTTTTAGAAGGTTTGAGGCACCAAATCACAAGCTGAGCAGACCCCTCATTGGAGCAAGGCTCACTTGAAAATTTACAAAATATAAACATATAAGAATCAATACTACCCTTACAATTCAACAATATACAAACAGATAGACATTTGTACATTACAGTTTAGCATGGAATAGAAAAGGAACAGCACCCAATGTAAAAAAGAAAAGGGGAGAGGAAACAACAACAGTGGGGTATGGTGCCTGTAGGGTAAAAACAGATGTGCCAGGAAAGGGAAGATAAGTGGGAAAAAATTCTTTTGTTCAGTCTCCCCTTTCAAAGAAAAAAAAATCTTTATGAGATAAATCAAGCAATATCACTTAAATTAGATGATTAGAAGAAACTGTAGCCCAAAACAAAAATATTGTAATGCACATGGCTTTTAACATGGCACTTCTAATGAAACCCTGGACTCTTAATTGAGGCATTTAATCAGTAAGCAAGAACCACAACAATCTCCTCTTCCAATGATTTGACAAATAGAATTTACATAATTTTTTATTTTTGGAAATTTCTTGCCTATCGATTTTGACTTTACATGTATAAGCTTTCTCTTTTATGTTGTTGAAATTGTGTTATATGTTCGATCTTGGCACTGAATCTAAAACCATGGCTTTCCATGACCTTTAATATATAACACTAATTCATAGTTTAACCTATTCTACTCTCATAAAGGAATTGATGTCATAAGTAATAACACATACCAAATTTTATCTTGAATGTGTCTACATCACAAGAGTGCTACTAGATAAGAACGTTAACCCTTGATGGCTTTATGCAACCATATAATGAGTAATAACTCACTTGTTGCACCTCCTTTTCTTGATCAAAATCTATTCTATAAGTCTCTAATCATATACGTCATTTTGTGGTAACCATTGGTTACACTCAAATGTAATTTAAGACATCTAAGTAACAATGAAAAACCTCTTCCTTCTAAGATACATCACATTATATCTCTAGACTCATATATTTGCTCCATTGATTGTCCTAAAAGTAAATAGATTCTATATTCTATAATTTGCTTGATTCATAGATACGAAGAATGGAGAACAATGCAGGCTGTGATATAGATGTGAGTACAGGATAAGCCACTGGCTACGTGGTAAGCAGGGGTTAAGATTGTTTACTTCATTAGTTTATACTGTCATGTACATTGGGTCACATAACTAAGTTGCTAGCCACATTATTGAATAATTAACTAAGCTTCTAACTAGATCAATAACACTAGCAGTGAAAAAACTTGAAAAACTCGTTGAATTTTTTCCTTTTCCATTTCATAATTTTGTTCTTTAAAGCTTTTCTTGAGGAGTCTTCTAACTAGAACTAATTTGTCACACCATTCTATCAATTGTTATCAAAATGCTTTGACATGCTTTTAAATTTTTATCTACAACAATATCCGGTCTGCAAACTCCAACAAGTTGTATTGCTCCAACCGTTTTGAAAATGAAATTTGTTAACACGAATATGATTGCAAAAGGCGCTCGGGCGCTCGCCTAGGCGCTCGGGCGAGGCGAGGCGAGGCGAGGCCCGAGCG